GGGATGTTCACCTGCACGCTGGCCAAGTTAGGGGCACATAACTGGTAACATACAAGACAAGAGTTGGGTGGAAAGAGTGTAATCTCTCAAACCAGGGCAGTGCGAGAGAAACGCATCCACCACGTCTTGGCTAACCACGCAGTAACAGTGAATCTCCTTCAGATGCCAACACTTCTTGGCCAATTCAACCAGGGAGGAGTTGAGAGCATCAGAAGAGGCCGTGTAAAGGATGAGTCTCTCCAGGGTCTGGCTGTAGCAGCTGGTGATCAGCCTCAGTTTATCGGTCATGTAATGGAGGTAATTAAACTGCAGAGATTTAACGGGGATGCTGGCCTTGAGGACCCCGGGAATCCTGGTGGGGTCCACCATGGCAGCAAATTCAAACTTCACCCGGAATTCGGGGTGTCTCTTGCTCAACATGGCCCAACACTCTTCGGGGATCTGCTTCTCCAGACCTTCGTACAGAATGTCCAAACACTTGAACGGTCCCCTGTTGGGCTTCCCCAGTTCTTGGAGGAGGTCCTTCGAGAGGCTGGTGTAATAAATCCCTAAAACCGCAAGTTTGGGGCAAATCCGCACCACCTCCACAATGGTCTCAGGTTTCAGGATGATGACCCCAGGAACCCGGTTGTTGATCAGCAAGGTGCGCAGATTGGGGTTGGTGGAAGCCAGGAGCAGCACCGTCCCGTTGTCCAGGATGAAAGGCATCTGCCGGAGGTCGACGTATTGCAGATCGATCTTATGATTGCTCTGGCAAAGGCAGCGGACACTCTGCAGGACATCCTGGCCGGAATAGAAGTAAGGACTCAGCCCCTGGCAGACGATGCACAGCGCCCGCAGCCTGGCCCTCTTACAAGCCAGCATGTCCAAGGTTTGGGTGACGAGCCTCCGGTTTAACTCCAAGTACTGGTTCAGTACAATCTTCAGGTGTCTGATATGGACCAGGTACCCTTGCAGCTTCCTTAACAGGCAGGCTTCGTCTTCGTCTTCAAAATCAAAACTGAAAGGATTGTGGGGAGGGGGCGGAGAGGAAAGGGACAAAGAAACCTTAATGAAGCCACCGAGCAAGTTCCACGACGGGACAATGGAGGCCCTTGCAATTCTGGCCTCATTGGCAGGTAAGGGCTCGACTTACAACAGTCTGTTTAGTGACCGTTCCAAGTGACAGCCGCACTGAAAAAAAAATGATATGCTTAACAAGGATGACAAAAAAGTTTGTGAAATTACGACCTTTGCAGCCTCCTCGTGATTGTGTGACCAAAATTCAGACACTTGGCAACTGGCTCGTATCTATGACCGTTGCTGTGTCCCCGGGGGTCACGTGATCCCCTTTGGCGACCTCCTGACAAGCAAAGTCAAGGGGAGGAAGCCAGATTCACTTAACGACCGGGTTACTAACTTATCAACTGCAGAGATTCGGGCTAACAACAGTGGCAAGAAAAGTCATAAAATGAGGCAAAACTCGTTAAACAAATGTCCCACTTAACAACAGAAATTTTGGGCTCAATTGTGGTCATACATCTACCTGTATTAATCATAACTGTTTTGCCCATGATTTGTGGAAGGAGGTTAGGGTCTATATAGAAGGTCTGTCCATAAGTTGCATATAGGATGTTTGAATGCGTGTTATGTATGTGTACACTTTGAGAGCAAGCAACTAAATTTCATTTTTAATGTGTGCCATTGTGCCCACAGCAAAAAATGACAATAAAGGTTATCTATCTATGTCTGTCTGTCTCTATCATCTATGAATCTATCGTCTGTCTGTCTGTCTGTCTGTCTGTCTGTCTGTCTGTCTGTCTGTCTATCTATCTATCCATCCATCATATATATCTATCTATATCATCTATGTATCATCTATCTATCATCTATCTATAATTTATCTATCATCTATCACAGTGGTGGCAAACCAATGGCACGCGTGCCAGAGGCGGCACTCGGAGCCCTCTCTGTGGGCACGCGTGCCGTCACCCCAGCCTCACCTCCCCCTGTGGCCCCGCCCCAGCAGCCCCCCTGGAGGAGAGTCGCCTTGGGCGCGGCCTGCACGGAGCAGCACAGCCAAGGACATAGCCAGGCAGCAGGGATAAGACTCCGCCCTCGCGCCCCATAGCTTGCAGAAGTTGCTGCGGGGTGTGGGCAGAGGGCGTGGCTGCCATGGCGCTGCAGGGCTGCCTGGGCAATCTGTGGCAGGCCACGGAGGTAGTGCGTGGCCCTGCGGGTGGGCAGGGCAGGGGGAGGGCAGGGGCGGAGCAGGCAGGATGGGAGGCGGAGCAGTGACAGGGGGCGGGTTTTGGGCACTCAGTCTCTAAAAGGTTCACCATCACTGATCTATCATCTATCTATAATCTATCTATAATCTATCCATCCATCCATCCGACTTCACACGTTGTGCTGGGCTGTAGATCCTCAACCCTAAAGACTGCTCCATGCCACATGACAAGCCAACCAAATGATGGCTTAATTGGATGCCTGAGCTCCAGCCAATGAAACAGGGGCCTTGTTGTCACCCCCTGAACAAAAGCCGCCTCTTCTTCTTCTTACTTAAGTTCTGTGAAACTCCAGACAGCAGAGGAAGCCACGGCTGCAGCCCATTTCTTGCACACGTGTAAAACAGCGTATCTGTCTTTAACCGACAGGAAGGAGAATACACCGGCCATAACTTCTTCTGGCATATAGTTCCAAAGATCGTCAATCACGTCGGACATCCTCCGAGCCTCGGGGATGACTCCCTGCAAAATTAACCCCACCAAAAAACAGAAAGGAAAAACCATCACCAAACAAACAAAATTGAATAAAGATTCATTTCTATGCATTTCACTCTATGGTCTCCAACCTCGGAAACTTGACCCCTTGTGGACTTCAACTCTTTTTCACTTTTGCGATATTGTAAACTGACCAGAGTTGATGTATGGGTTAGATGAGTGTATGCCAATAAAGTAGAATATTTGCCCAAGATTGAAATGAGTGCGCCTCGAGTTCGGCTGTTTTCTTGCAGACGTTTCATTACCCAACTAGGTAACACCATCAGTGTCAGTGCCAACACTGACGTCACCTATTTGGGGTAATGAAACGTCTGCAAGAGAACTACCAAGCTCAGAGAGCACCCAGGACCCCACCGCCCTCCTCTTCCTCCACCCTTTATTTTATTTTATTTATTTATTTATTAAATTTATATCCCGCCCTTCTCCTTGCGGACTCAGGGCGGCTGACAATCAATTTAAAAAACATAAATAACAATTACAGAATTAAAATTAATTAAGAAGAAATATTTAAATTTAGTCTAATTAAAATATGATTAAAACCCCTCTAAAAATTGCCCTAGGCCAGTCCCGCTTGTTGGAATAGC